TAGATAATTTACAGATTTCTCTAATAACTCACAAAATTTTCCTAGTGCCAGACTGGGGCAGAAAAATTTTGTTTGTTTTTGTTTGTCTTTGATGGCTTTGTAGGCTCTGCCGTATAACACAAGTGACGATTAAAGCTTGCAGTTTCAGCTTCTCATCAGAAGAAAGAATTCCTTCGATCACAAGATAGTCAGAGTTAGCTTTGATAATGTGTCAGCAACCCAACTTCTCAAGATTCATCTTCTCAAATTTTGATCCAGAAAGCAAGCAATCGAGATTGAGTCATAATCTTTTCTTCAAAAGTATCATGATCCGATCTAAGGTCAACACAAACGAGCAGGTCAAGAATCAAGATTTGACTCCAAAAGACACATAGATAGGAATTTTGTACTCTTAGTTTGCAGACATGTGTAGTGCTCTCCTCTTTTTCTTTTGATGTAAGAAGCGAGTAACAGTAACAGCAACAACAACAACAACAGTAGCAGTCTTAACTCCAGTGTCTGGTAGTCCCAGCTACCAAAATATTTCCCAGAACTACACAGACCTGATTCCTTTATAGCCAAGGATATGTAGGCAACCTCAGAAGTAAGGTTCGGTCACTTCTTAAAAAAATGCTTCCATTGGGTTGATAAGCGAGCAAAAATTATCCATGACATTCATTTGTCTTTGCACAAAACTCTTCATTTTCTCGAGCAAAGAGGGGCAGCTGTAAATATCTATTTTTTGCTCACGTTAAATTCTTCTACAAATACTAATATTTGGATGATTTGTAGTTATTTGTGCATTTTTTCCTTTATTAAAAATACCAAAAGTATTTTTTTTGGTATTTTATTTGTGTATATTAGTTTGCATCTTCAAATTATATATACCAAAAAGTTTTTCTTTCTACTTGTACATTTCTTTAGGATTAAATGTATTGTAGTATAATTAGGTGTTAAGGGATTTGGTCTAGTGTATTTTAATTGAAATGGAGCTAAAATCGGCCCACAATTAGAAAACCAAAGGGTCCACAGATCCGGTCCAAATGGGGCTGCCAGAGATGGGGCTAAACAGCGTAGTTTTGGATCAAACTATGTCGTTTTGGTTATAAATCAAGATGAAATCACAACCATTCATTTTGCTCAATCCAACGGACCGTATGTGTTAACTCATTCCAAATAAAACCTTTGGAAAATCTGATTTTTTGCCCCATTCACTATCCAAACCTAGCTCCGTCTCTCTTCTCTCATTCTACCACAGCCGCCGCCGGTCTCCAGTGCCACCACCGTGAGCCGCCGCCGGTGGTGGTCCAAACAACCCCAAATTATCATCATACACTCTCCTCAACCTCCTCTTTCCATATCTTCAAACCAAATCCTTCAAAACCCCATCAAACTCCACGAATTTTAGAAGCCGCCACCCTTTTTCCCAAATTCGTGAAGCTCCAGGCATCTCCGCCCCATGACATATACATAAACGGACAGAGCTCTATGAGATATATATTTTCGTGTTAATTTCAGTCTCAATACTCCGACAGAAGCCCGACGCCGCCGTCCACTGTCGCCACTGTCGACTACGACCACCACTGCCTCACACCTCCGCCCCACCACTGCTCCTCTTTTCTTTAGCCTAGTTCCGACCCAAGAACACCCGTTTTATTTTAGTATGACATTGAGTTCATTGAGCTTAGTGTCTACTAAAATGGAACGAGTGTTCTACGATCGGACAGCCACTACTCGGGGTCCTCGGCATCCGTCTCGTTGCTCGATTTGGCATTGAATCCCTCCATATGGTAAAACATCAATTTCCTTTTACTATTTTTATCTTTGCTGATTTTTTTTGCTTTTGTATTTAATATTAATTCTAAGGTTTAATTTCTATTAAAGTTGTTGTTATTTATGCGTAATTGAGTATTAGTTTTCAATTACATATTACTTTATAAATGCGATTTTCTGTTCTTCGACCTGGCCGGTCGAGTAGATCGTTATTGTCTGTTTAGTTCTGATTTTTGGTTATTCGACCTAACCGGTCGACTATTTTGAGTGAATTTGTTAAGCTTGAACTTTCAGTTCTTTGACCTAGCCGGTCGAGTAGTTCGTTATTGTCTGTTTAGTTCTGATTTTTTGTTTTTTCGACCTAGCCGGTCGCCTATTTTGAGTGAATTTGTTAAGCTTGAACTTTCAGTTCTTTGACCTAGCCGGTCGAGTAGTTCGTTATTGTCCGTTGGTTCTGATTTTTGGTTCTTCGACCTAGCTGGTCGACTATTTTGTATGAATTTGTTAAATTTGAATTTTAAGTTCTTCGACCTAGTTGGTCAATAGTTAAGTCTTCATGTTAGTTTCATGAAAAATTTAAAAAAAAAGATAAGTTGAATCATTTTTTTTGTCAGTCGTTTGTTAGGTTGTTATTAATAGTTTGTGATTGTTAGCGATGCTAGTTTAGTTTCTGTTTCATGCAATAGTTTGTTATTTCAATCACCTCATGGTAGTTTGTGCAAATCAAATTAGTTTCCGTCTAGTTTGATGAATACGTAGTTCGGTTACCTTTTAAGTCTTGTTTCTGTTGTATTAATCCATAATTTGGTTAGTTTGAAGGTATGAGTGTGTTAGCTTAAATTTCAGTCATGATAAAAGCTGAATATTAGAGTGTATGGTACTTGTTTGGCTGCTTTTTACTGTTTAAAGGGTTGTTTGGAGTACACTGCTCCTAGCACTGTTCATAGTTGGTGAAAAAATTGTCTTTTGGACAGATTTTTGACCTTTGAATAGTTGAGACAGATTTTAGGTGGAAAATCTGTCCTTTGGACAGATTCAATGAAATAATTCAATCCCTTTCCTTTCCTATAAAGGAAGAGGTCTTTCCTCACTTAAAGAGGATCTGGAACACACAAAAAAGGGGGAAAAGAACCAGAGAGTATTTTACTAAGTTTTCAGCACACAATAGGTTTTAGGCAAGAAAAACATCAAGAGTCTTGGTTTCCTTTGTTTGTTTTTGGTCTAAAACACATGGCTGATTCTCTGGATTAACTTTTGAGTTCACTTCTGGTGTTGATTTTACTGCTGTTGCTGGTTCGTTTTAACTGAAATTGTCTGTTGCGCTGTTGCTCGGTTGCTTTCTTTCTACTTCTGCGAACTAGTTTTCTGCTGTTAGTTGGCCTCTGTATTTGCTGGATATCTAATATTAAAGAAAGTTGTGCTTCAAAAGGTTCGTATTTATTCTTGCTCTTTCTACTTCATATCACTAATTGTGAATCAAAGCCAAGAGAAGTTATTTGAGATTGGTTTTATTAAATTTTCCTTGATCTTTATAATTATTAAGGGAATAAAAAATATCATCATCATAGAGTTTAAAGAAATAATGAAGATTTTTCCATAGCTAGTTCTTCTCTTATTCCATCTCAAGAATTTTCTTTTCTTAGTAAGTTTCTCTGTTATTTAAGTTTATATTTTCTAAAATTTGTTTAATGCTTGCTAATATGTTAGCCGTTACAAGAGGTACTAAAAGTTTTATTGTAATAAGCTAGATTAACTAAAAGTAATTTCTTTTCTTCACTTCATGTATTTGTTTAAGCATGTATTATAGGCATTAAGTTAATGAAAAATATATTCCACTCTTCCTAGTCTAGTTTAAATGTTTGAATAATATTTTGTTAGTTTAAGATCATTTGACCTCTAGTTTATACTGTAAGTGTTCTTTCGGATGCAAATCACTAATGAACATCATAAAAGTATACGTGTTTTTCTTAGTTGTTTAATGTGAGTTTATCTTAGAATTAAAGGATGTTAATTTCAAATGTTTATTTTGTTAGAGGTTTAATGGTCATTAGTCGTTCTATTGCCTCAATTCAGGACTAATATTAGTCGATTCTGCTAGCAAGTATGATCTTTGATATATATATATATATATATATAGCCACGTCATTAATATAGGGATTTAGTTTAAAGGAATGATTTTTTTTTTCTTTCTTTGTTTCCTTTCTATTTATGATTATTTCAATCTCATTTTTAAGAAGTTCTGTTCATTCAATTTCAAAGTGTCACAAATTGAGATGCTTTAAAAATCCAATTAATCACGCACTACTCATTTTGATAATGTAAATATTTTTCTTAAATAAAAATTGAGCAATCAGTCTTTTAATTTCATAACATATAGTCTCTAAAAATAGATAATGTTTTTTTAGAATAAAAGTTATAATAATCTAGCCAAGTCTCATAAATTTATTCTTATGAAGGTTGAACCTTTTTAGTCTACCAAATAATTTCATTAAAATTAGGTTTTATTTACTTATTTTAATTTATTTTATTTTAATAACTCAAACGCCTTAGTCACCTTAGTAATAATTTAAACACTAGGTAATTAGTAGGTGTGCTTTAACTTACAGAATCGCTTGCATAGCGTGATGCTTAACATTCAATAAATTAATTCAACAATCTCATGTCATATCCATTAGTTTTAGTTAATTTTTAATTTAATCAATCCTTGGCTAAAATCGCAGATTCGCTTGCGCGGCGCGATAGCTAGCCTTTCTTTTAATAATCTTCAAGAATTAATTTTCTCAAATGTAGTAATTTCTAAAAAAGTACTACAAATAATTGATTGTTATGATTTCGGATTCGCTTCGAGGCGCAATTATGATAAGTTAATTAATTTTGTTATTCGATCACGCATTCGCTTGCGTGGAGTGGTTATGACAACGCAATATTATCCAAATCATTTTTTTTAATAATTTCAATAATCAAGAAATAATAACGGATAGGTAAAACATAGAAATCCAATAAAGCATAGTTTATCCAAAATTAATTTAAGCCAAGTTTTAAGTCAATAAAGCGACCGTGCTAGAAGCACGGGACTCGGGGAATGCCTTACACCTTCTCCTCGGTCAATAGAATTCTTTACCCGAACTTTGTTTTCGCGAACCGATATAAAAGAGTCAAATCTTCCTTTGAATAGAGATTCAAATAAAAGGTGACTTGGAACACCCAAAAGTCAATTCCAAGTGGCGACTCTGAACAATGAAATAATCCACATTTCAAAATTGTCACTTTAATTGGAAAAACTCTTTAACCCACAACAATCCATAACATACACATATTATCCTTTGGGGGTGGGGGTAAAAAGGGGTGTGACATACATCTCCTATCAATTTCTTTCATCACACTCTGAGGCAAGATAAAGACTGTCTCCCAAAAACTGTATATAGAAAAAATTAAACAGCATTCTAAACGTGTAGTCGACCTGCATAGGAAAGCTTCCTTGAGTAACCAGTGTTGATTTTTCTTGTAATCTTATCCACCGGAATCTTGCAATCTACCTTGTTCCATTTCTTTGGGGAAAGGGGTAGTCCAAGATATCTCATGGGAATTAACGTTGTGGAAAACCTATTTGCTGTAGAAGAGACTCTCTGGTGGGTTCATCCACCCCTTCCATGAAGAGACTAGACTTCTCCATATTGACTACAAGCCCTGAAGCCTGGCTGAAGTGAATCACAGCTTCCATGATTCCTTTAACTTATTTTGTGTCTGCTTTGCAAAAAATCATAAGGTCATCTGCAAACACCAAATGTGTAAGCTGATGGTGCTTACCCATAGGGTGGAATCTAAAATTGGTAAAGCACTCATAGATTTCAGTAGTCTTATCAAATACTCCATAACCAACACAAATAGGAGGGGTAAAATAGGGTCTTCTTGCCTCAATCCCCCTCTACCAGCAAAGAAACCATGACATTCTTCATTTACCTTTAGTGTAAAGTGAGGGGAGGTCACACAAGTCATAACCAGTTGCACAAACTTAGGAGAAAACTGTATCCTAGTAAGGCCTCTTGCAAGAACTCCCAACTGACCATGTCATAGGCCTTCCTAAGCTCTATTTTCATTAAACATCTAGGAGAGATCTTTCTATTATAATGCCTTAGTAAATCATGGCAAATTAGAACATTGTGGACCAGTGACCTTCCCTATAGAAACGTTGTTTGGTTTTCTGCCACTATAACACTAATGGCCTTTCTCAACCTGACACACATCATCTTTGAGATAATTTTATACAATATATTGCAGCATGAGATTGGTCGGAACTGTGAGGCATATTCAGGATCATCAACCTTAGGAATCAGAGCAATGTTAGTAGTGTTCAGCTGTTTTAATAGCATTTCATTCTGGAAAAATTGCAAAATGTCCTTTGATATGTCTTCCCCCACAATGCTCCAGGCAGACTTGAAGAAACCACTACTAAATCCATCTAGTCCCGGGCTCTTATTGCTATCAATCTGGAAGAGAGCTATCTTGACATCCTTACCAGTATAAGGCCTCAATAATTCTGTTTGATGATCCTCAGATAATACCGGTCCTTGGTGTAGGAAACTAAGGAATGCTTTAACTCTAGAATTAGCTTTCTACCCAAGAAGATCCTCATAGTACTTGACAAATAAATTGTCTTGACATCCTTCAGTTGTGTAGTACATTACTTTAGCTTTTTATGCTTAATGACAGAATAGAAATACTTTGAGTTGTCATCCCCAAGCTTGATCCATGTATCCTTGGCCCTTTGCTGAAGAAACATCTCATTTATGTAAGAGCTTTGCTTGAATTTCAGGTATTTCTCCCTTTCTATTTGCTAAAGCACAATATTAGCAGGGTTAGCCTATAGTTGATTCTGAGCAATGAGCAAAGCATCTCTATCTTCTCTTGTCGTTGTTTCTGTATTGCTGAAAAACTTATTATTCAAGATTTTCAAACTCTTTTTCAAATTTTTCAGTCTCTTAATCACTTGAAACATCAAATATCCTTCTACTTGGACATCCCATCCAGCTTTTACAACATCAAGGAACTGGGGGTGTTGAGCCCATGCATTATAGTAAGCAACTGATTTCCTTCTCATCTGCTTCGTATTAGCTATAGTGAATTTTGCAGGACAATGATCACTTATGCCCTCAGGCATAAATGTAGCCTCACATAAAGGCATGGAGTCCAACCAAACATCATTGATAAAGATCCAGTCAATTTTTGAGAGCACTCTTTGATCACTCCCCTTGTCATTCCATGTGTACTTGTTACCCTGATGAGGATGAATGAGCAAATCACAAGTATCAACACAATTTTGGAAATATGCTATTTTAGACCAACCAACATGACTTCCTCATATTCGATCCTCTAGATGGAGAACAGAATTGAAATCACCTAGAACCAGCCATGGCTTGGAACAACCTGAGCTTATTCTAACTAAGTTATTCCAGAGATCTCTCCTTTCATCTTTGGTGTTAAAAGCATACACTACGGAGAGAAGAAATTCCAGTTGGAGAGGAGTGTAAACTACCTCACAAGTGATAGTTTGGGAGCTGATATTAATAGGGTATACTATGTAGAATTCAGGCCTCCATACCAATACAATCCTTCCATTATAACGTGAATCCAAATTAGTTAGCCTCTGCCAACCTCCAAACAGCTTATCAGTAATGCTATCCATCCTATTCCTCTTTAATTTAATTTCTAATAGACCAATTAAGGCCGACCTCACATTATTACACAGAAGCTTAACCTCCTCCGGCTTATTAGGGGCATTTAGTCCCCTAACATTCCAACAGAGAATATTAACTATTCCCTTGATGGGGAACTAATTTATCTCTCGCACTTGACTCTGACTCAACTGAATCAGACTTATCAATTTCTGCATTGTTCAAAATCTGGAAGGAATTAGGGCTCTCAACTGAGTGAGTGGTTGATTGTTGCCCCCTTTTTGCTATTTAGAGGAGTGATCCATGTTCTTCCTCCTATACCTTGCGTTGGTTCTTGGTTCATCTTGGTTGGCTGAATGTGAGTATCTCCAATATTGTCAATGTTCCTAAGGGTAGTCTTCTTTGTAGGTGGATATTCTCTATTAGTAACATAGTTCTGCGTACCCTCAAAGTTTTGCTGTGCCTCTTTACCTCCTTGTTTCTGCTCCTGCGCCTTACCCACCTCATGTTTCCTTGTTGGATTCAACACTTTAACCTCTTGTTTAACCCCTTGTTTCTTCCTGCCATCCCCTTCAGAGTGACCATATTTGTGGCAATGTTTGTAGAGGATCGACTTCCATTCATATTGCACACTTTGTCTCATGAGAACCCCTTTTTCATTCCTAAACAGCATAGTCTCAGGCAGACTGGCATCCACACCAACCTCAATTAGCATTCTAGCATAACTGAGGCCTAGTTTCTTCTCAGTACTTTGATCTACTAGCATTCTAGCATAATTGAGGCCTAGTTTCTTCTCAGTACTTTGATCTACCAACAATAAATCTCTTAGTTTCCCTCTCACTTTATTACATTTTCATCTTCGAAATCCATATAAAAATGATTGAATCTTCGGACAACCCAAATAAGATATGAACTGCTTGGAAATGCTACAACCAACATAGAGAAAGAGATGGACTTGATTTCTATCGATGTGAAATTCATTCTATTTCTCTGATGTGCATATTATCCCATAAGCCTACTCTACTTTAGAATGCGCTAGAGAAAAAAATGGAGCTCCTTCCTCATTTTTAAGTATCTATTGTTACTCCACTGTAGAGCTCGCACTTCATCTTTTATGTTAAGATAAATACGTTTCTATTATTACTCCAATATAAACCTTTATTTGATTCAAACAAGTTGCTAGTATTAACCAATGAGCAGAACTTTGATGTTGTTGCAGGGACACTACCATTGTCTCAAATAGATCGCAATATGTTGATTTCATATTGCTATACGCAGAATCCGGATTTACAATGATGGTGCCAATCAAAGGTGATAATAGCGATAGTGCATGTGTATTCTTGAATCCATTGACTTGGAAGCTATGGTTAACAAGCTTCTATTCTTTTCTTTTCTTTGGCTTTGTCATTTGGCTACTTTAACATAGAGTAAATGGAGACTTCAGAGGACCTCCTTGTCACCAAGCTGGCATGATCTTTTGGTTCTCCTTCTCAACTATGGTCTTTGCACAAAGTAATTAATTTCCTTGTCCTCCGATCCTTAATTTGTATTCTCTCATAACATTTTATATCATACTAATTCCTTTTTAATTTGTTCTATCGTTAATACTACCTTTTATATTTAAAAGTTCTTTAACTTTAAACTTCTCATTTTACCTCCAGTGCAATGTTCTTACAGTCATATAAATGTCATGGTATATATGTTTAAAACCACAAGTTGGCATTTTTTATGTGTCAAAAATCTTTTTTCTTTCTTAAACGTCATACCCATTCAAACACCGTCATTTAAATTGAGGACAAGCTGTTGAAGGCGAGACTTAGATGGTTCGGGCATATGAGGAGGAGAGGCACAGATGCTCTCGTGAGGAGTTGCGAGAGGTTGGCTTTGGAGGGCCTGAGGAGAGGTTGAGACAGACCAAAGAAGTATTGGAGAGAGGTGATTAGGCAGGATATGACGTTGCCCCAACTTAGGGAAGACTTGATCATAGATTATATTGGAAGGTATGGAGTTTGAGAATAAAGGTAAAGAGTTAGGATAAGTAGCCAAGCGTTTTCCTATCATTAACAGTAGCTCTAGTACATGACTTAGTGTCCTTTGTGTATTGTCGTATCCCTTGACTTCTGTTGTTACTTGTTGTTGCTTTCATTTCGGCTTTCTGATTGCAGTACCTATTGTTAGTTTTGTGTTTTTGCTTTGATTTTCTGATTGGTGTGCTTGTTGTTGCCTTTCTTGAACCGAAGGTCTACTGAAAATAGCCTTTCTGCCTTCTTGAAGGTAGGTGCAAGGTGTGTGTACACTCTGCCCTCCCCAGACCCCACTTGTGCGATTACACTAGGTTTGTTGTTGTTGTTGTTCTAATATGTAACTACTTTCTCTCTCTCTTTTATATATAACATATGCCTCAAACCTCTAATCTGAATTTTCTCCTTTTTGATTCTTGATACTAGCAGAGGAGAAGATAGTAAGCAATTTGGCTAGGCTTGTGGTAGCTATCTGGTTTCTAGCTAGTACTGCTAATATTGACGTCAATCTACATAACAAGTCTGACATCAATGCTAACATTTGAAAAACTCCAGCCATTTGCTAGAGATGTAAAAGAACTTCTGAAGAACAAGGAGTACGCGGGCTACCTACAGGGCTCTTTTGTACCGGGACTTGTAAGAAAAATGAACTTTGATGAAGACAGGCTTAAAGGATATAGAAGTCCTGAGGAATATGTTGATTTACACTCTAAAGGCAGTGCGAATGGTGTTGTTGCTGTTGTTTTTGATGAGATTCGTTTATGTGAAGCTTGTCCTTTCAAATTATTGCTCGAAATTTACCACCGTTGGACCTACATATAAGGCTGATGGATTTGGCATTGTAAGTAACTCCTCTTTTTCTCAATATATTTTGTTGTTGTTAGTACAAGATCTACTTGTTCAGATTCTAGCTCTTTACTTTCCTCCAATAGTCTTGGCCTAGATAGCTTTTAGGGACTCTTTGTCGTAGTTGCAGCCGCTGCAATTTTGGCTCTCCTCATCTTTCTATCAAAATTCATGCATGAATATTGGCACATCGTAAAACGATCTAATCTTTCATTTTACGAAAGAGTCAGAATCTTGGACAGAAAGTTCTATAGAAATGACTATAGCTGCATACTTTCAAGAAGAGTGAACTAAGAGATGCAATGAGAGATTCAACACATATGGATTGTTCACATAGTACACATGATAACTTTTCAATGTTATCTTTGTTAGAGCAGTGCGCAACTATCGTTCATACCTTCAGCCATTGTTGCGGTGTGGTCGTTGGATTGGTTATCAAATTCTAGTGTCTTTACTGACGAGTCTTCTAAGCACATAGAAATTCTCTCTAGATGGTGTAGTAATTTAAGGTGTTTTATGTGCTTAGGGACCTCAACCAGATTTAGCCACATTTGTACTGTTCTTCCATCAAGAACAATTACTAGATCAAATAAACGGGCATCAATTTCTGGCATATGAGCAGTTACAAAAATTAATGAAGTGGAATTAAAGAAAGGAGTTTCAATTAGTCCATTAAAGGACCACCTTTCTAAAATGTTCAAATAAAACGTTACTAATATTCTCCCACTTGGTCCGTATACAAAATGCCCAAGTCATAGTACTAATGGTATAAGGAGAATCATAATGCATGAATCATGACAATTGTTCCTCTAAGAGTGAGTAGTATCTTTCATGTATCACAATGCATTATGCCTCTAAACCTAAGTCCATATTTCTTAATGAATAAATCCAATGTTTATTCTAGGTCCATACTTTTGTGATACTTCTCAAAATAGACAATAACAATCAGAGAAATATCATACATATAGAGTTTCATAAATATCGTTGTTACAACAAAATTTACATAGTGGAACCAAGTCCTACTGTAACTACATAATCCTTAAACTTTTGTGGTGGCATGCTTTTAGTTAAAGAATCGGCTAACATCAATTTAGTGCTAACGTGCTCAATTACCACTTTTTATTTTTAACACGTTCTCTTATAGCGAGATACTTAATGTCGATATGCTTGCTTCGACTCCCACTTTTGTTATTCTTAGCCATAAAGGCAGCAACTTAATTGTCATAATATATCCTCAATGGCTTAGAGAAGGAATCGACAATTCTAAGCCCAACAATGAAACTCTTCAACCATAAACCATGTGAGGTAGCCTCAAAATAAGAAATGAACTCAGCCTCCATAGCGGAAGTAGTAGTCAGAGTTTGTTTGGAACTCGTGCAAGATATAGATCCACCGGCCAACATAAAATTGTATGCTGATGTTGATTTGCATGAATTAATGCAGCCATCAAAGTCTGTATCGGAGTGTCACGACCCAAAATTCCAAACCATCGTGATGGCTCCTAACACACTTGCTTGGCAAGCCGAACATAAAGATACAAAACCAAAATAATGGGAATTTGTAGAAATAGAATTAGTTTTAAACCTTAACATAATAAAATATCACTAACACATGATAAACTCCCACAGAAACTGGTAAATATAGAGTGATGAGCTCTACAATAGAATACAAGTCTGAAAAACTAAATAACAATATTATCTGAACTAAAACAACAGTACATAAGAAAAGACAAGTCAAGACTACGAGCATAAATGTAGCTCTATCTCATCTCTCGATACCCCGCTCAACAAGCAACTCACTGCGGATAGCTGGTACGAACACCTGGATCTGCACAATTAAGTGCAGAGTGTAGTATGAGTATAACCGATCCAAACTACTCAATAAATATCATAACTTCCCTCGGCGAGGTAAAAGAAGCAAGAATTTTAAATGATACCTGCTATAACCTGTACAGTTTCTCAATTTAACAGGTACAGAACAATAATGTGATCAAGTATAAAGCACAGAAAGAACTATCTCTGTGTATAAGTTATTTTCAAGTACTCTGCTCTGTAAATGGTACAGTATATAAGGGTAGTATGCGAACGAATCAGGTAAATAACCACGGATATTGCAAGTAAAAATGAAATGCAAATCAAAACAAACACTTACCAGATTTTCCTCAACCTTTCCATATCCCTACCAAACCACTGATCAGTTTTCCTCAATACTTGCGAGTACACTATAAAGAGAGAAAAATGAGAGGGTGACCCTATGGGAATGGATCCATATCCACACGCAACCACGGCCAATTCAATATGCTACCAGTCCGGGTGGTCATAGACTCAATATCATAATCTACCCGGCATGGTCATAGACATAATAATACAATCCGCCCGGTGTGGTCACATGCATAACAATATAATCCGCTCAGCGTGGTCACAAACATAACAATACGTTCCGCCCGACGTGTTCACAGGCACCCAGTCCAAGTCATATCACACAGAAGAAAATATACAAGAATACATGTATATGATGAATCAATATCAAATTTGATGATCTTGGACTAGTATAATGACATGCTAAAGTGTAGGCATGTGCAAAGTATGCTATCATAGCTCAAATCGGCAAATTCATCACAAAAATAGTAATTATCAAGTTCATTCAGGTATTTAGCATCTATGTAACCTCAAACATGGTTCAAAAGTTCACAACAAGGCTACAAATATGAGAAATAATATATCTTAAAGCTTAACAGTTAATTCTAGGCATATCATATCCTAAGCACTACCCAAGCATGAATGAATATCTCGGTGCTCGCACATGGGCTCAAACCCCACACATATGTGCACTCATAACACGTAGCTATCACAAATAACTCGGGCAACTAGTGCCTCAACCAAGTTTAGATAAGATACTTACCTCAAGCAAGCCAAATTACTCTTCTAACAAGCCCTTCCCGCATTTATCAACCTCTAGACGGCCAGAAACTAGCCAAATTAACTTAATATAATCAATAAAAGCCATAAGAATTGATTCCAAATGGTAAAGCTAAGATCTTTAACAAAAATAAAAAAGTCAACCAAAATGTCAACCCCGGGCATGCACCTCGGAACCTGACAAAATTTACAAAATTCGAACACCCATTCGATTACGAGTTCAACCAATCCAAAATCATCTAATTCCGATCTCAAATCGACCTTCAAATCCTAAATTTTTCAGTTAAGAAAGTTTTTACTGAAATCTCCCATTTTCTACTTCAATTCACCAATTATATGCTAAAAATAAAGATGGAATCATGAAATAATAACAAATCTGAGTCAAAAATACTTACCTCGATTCAAATCGCGAAAATATCCTCCAAAATCGAGCTCTACAGCTCAAAATATGATATAATAACTCTAACCCTTGAAATGGTATTTAAAAGAGTCTGCCCAGTCATTACACTTCACAAATGCGAAAAATGCCTCACGTTCACGAAGAACAAGTCTCACCAGCTGCTAATTCCTCTTACGCAAATGCGACAGCTCAGTCGTGAACGTGATGGTCTACCCCCTACAGCTACGCGATCACATTTCATATATCACGACCGCGAATAGCAAATGCCTGACATCCTCAGGCCCTCCCTTCCTTCTATACAGACGCGTTTTAACGCTCGCATTCGCGATGAACAAGCACCACAAAGCTTCACAAACGAGTTCAACTTTTCACGATTGCGAAGAACAACAGACCACCTGCCAGCATTTACTCTACGTGACCGCGCCCCTTACTTTGCGATAGCAAAAGAGGAAACCAGAAGCACAGATTTCTGCCTTCAACCAAGATGGAAAAAGGTCTGAAACTCATCTGAAACACAACCGGAGCCTCTCGGACCCCATACAAACAAGTCCTAAAATATAATACGAACTCGTTCAAAGCCTTAAATCACATCAAACAACACCAAAACCACGAATCACAAATTGATTCAAGCCTAATAAACTATTGAACTTCCTACTTCTAAAACTAATGTCGAATCCTACCAAAATAATTCCGAATGAGCTCAAATTTTGCATAGAAGTCATAAATGACACAAACGTACTTGCTCCAACTCCTGGAATCAAAATTCGAACCCGATATCGTCAAAGGCAACTCTCAGTCAAACCTCTCAACCTTCCAAACCTATAACTTTCCAACTTTCGCCAAAAAGCCTCAAACTAACCTACATACCTCCAAACTAATATCCGAACATACATCTAAGTTCGAAAGAACCGTTAAAGCTCCGAAGACACAAAAGTCAAGCTCCGATCAACTCTTCCAATTTAAGCTTCCAGCCTTGGGACTAGGTGTCCCAATTCACTCCGAATCATCCTCGGACCCAAACCAACCACCCTGACAAGTCACCCAACCATAAATGAACATAGAAGAAGTAATAAATAGGGCTACAATACACAAAATGAGCGGCTGGGTCGTTACATTCCCCCCTTTTAAACGAATGTTTATCCTCGAACGGGTTTAAAGTCATATCTGGAGTCTTAAATAGGTGTGGATATCTGCTCCGCATCTCCCGCTCGTCATCACAAGTAGACTCCTCGACTAGCTGACCTCTCCAACGAACTTTCACTGATGCTATATTCTTCGACCTCAAATTTCAAACCTGCCAGCCCAAAATGGCCATCGACTCCACGTCATAAGTCAAATCCTTATCCAACTGTACCATGCTGAAATCCATAATATGTGACGGATCGCCATAATACTTCTGGAGCATAGCAACATGAAACACTAGGTGAATACTACATAGACTATGTAGCAATGCAAGTCTGTAAGCCACCTCTCCCACTCTCTCAAGCACCTTAAAAGGACCAATATACGGTGGGCTCAGCTTTCCCTTCTTCTCGAACCTCCTCGCGCCCTTCACGGGCGAAAGGCTGAGCAAAACCTTCTCACCCACCATATATGATACATCACAAACCTTCCAATTAGCATAACTCTTTTGTCTAGACTGTGTTGTTCGAAGGCAATCCTAAATCAACTTGACTTTATCCAAGGCATCCCGAACCAAATCAGTGCCCAACAACCTAGCCTCCCCC